ATCTACATCTATTTGATTATGTACAAAGATACTGTAAATGAATCAATCTCTATGCTGAACTGTATAAGGTTTTGCTGGGGCTTAATTCTCACTTGCTGGAGCCATGCCTCCATGGGCCCCACCCAACGACAGAGCTGGCGATAAATATGAAGCGGTTTTCTTTTAACTTTCAATTATTTGAACTACTGGAATAATATTACTAGTATTAAGAACTGAACTGAAGAAGATTTTGCTGGGGCTTAATTATTACTTGCTGGGGCCCAGCCCCCACAGACCCCAATCTAACGACGGGGCTGTACACAATAGTCTTTTAGTCTTGGAATGTTCCAACTCAGTGGTCATGTATAGTTTTGTGTCTGGAGACTTGTTTTCCATGTATGACTGATTAATAAATTGAATTATAATTTCAAGCCACTTAGTGCCAGAAAAGTAGAGCATGACAGAGTCAGAAAATCTGTTAAAGACAATTGGGTGAAGGAATTTAAGAAAATGGTAAGCTGTGAATGTTTTATCTTTACGTTTAAAATGAATTGCTGAAGGCTTATATTATATAATCATTAGGTTTGAGCAAAAGAATTGCTTAGTTACAATGAACAAATGGTGGTCTTACTTCATCTGGGAAAGATCATTGTTATGAGATTTAGCCAAGGACTTACTAGTAGACAGGATCCTTATGAACACAGCGTTTTTCATCCTTATAAAACTTTGTTTGCTCTCCTTTAAGAAAGGGTTGTTTCAACAAAAATATTGTTCATTTTATGTTTCTAACATGGCATGGGAATGAATGGATGCTATTTGGACTTTAGAGGTATGAGGCATATTTCAATAAACAGAAGTTAAACTATCCTGTTAAACAATTTAAAATATTAAAACCCCATTATGTTAAAGTCAAGAATGTATGATTTTAATTATAAACATGAGCTGTGCACTATTTTTTAAAGATAGTTTAACAGGTAATGAATACAGCAGAAAACTGGCTTGAAAGCATTAATTAGTATTTATTCTACTTGATTACCTTCCTTGCTAAGGTTTTGAATTGTACCTAAGAGTATAGTTTATGGTTTATTTATGGTATTAAGCCACAAAAACCTGTGGTGAAGACACATTTGATATATTAAATATTATCTCTATATAGTGCAGGGTTATAAGTAATGATTTCTGCGTTTTTTTCAATATAAAGCATGAAGCCGTATCAAATTTGAATAGAGCTCAATCTTTATATATAACACGTCAACAAGATTATGAGAGAGCTAGACTGGCTGTAAATAAAGCAGAAGGAGATAAACTAGAGAAGAAGAAGAAATTAGAAGAGGAGGCTATGCACAAGGTAATATCAGGGCCAAAAACTCTCTCTTTCTAAAGTGATTAAATGGATATAATATAGTTGTTCTGGTTTTACTTTTCTAGTTAATAAACTTATCCATGACATTTTTCTGACTTTTCTACAATTAAAAAAATAAAGGCAGACCAGTAGGGGTATGGGGGAGGGGAGGGGGGTATGCAAAATGGTTTGTACCTTCTAGAGTGTTAAGGAGCATGTGAAAAACAAGGGCAATAACTCATACTAAATATTTTTCGATTATTCTGATTTTCAATAGGGTTCATCCTTTGGTGATTACAAGCAATCATACTTCAAAATCCATCAAGAATTATGCCTTGTAGACTGTTAAGGAGCATACTAAATATATTTCGATTCTTCTGATTTTGTAACAAGTTAGAAATATGTTTAAACATCAGGATTTACCAAATTGAGCCAATGAAACAGAAGTGACATGAGTCTGTAATTAAGGTTCTTCAAACATACCATCATAATGAATGTATATGGCTGTATATATTTTTGATTGAAAGAATAACAAGATGATATATCTCTTTACAGGCAGCTGAAGCAGAAACTACTTATAAGGCTTGTGTAGCTGAAACAAACAGTAAACATAAAGAACTAGAAAAATTGAAGGTAAATACTTCTACATTGTAAATACCATAATTAGTGTTTTCAATACCATAATTAGTGTTTTCAATACCATAATTAGTGTTTTCAATACCATAATTAGTGTTTTCAATACCATGATTAGTGTTTTCAATACCATAATTAGTGTTTTCAATACCATAATTAGTGTTTTCAATACCATAATTAGTGTTTTCAATACCATGATTAGTGTTTTCAATATCATAATTAGTGTTTTCAATACCATAATTAGTGTTTTCGTCACATTTCATCTTCACTGATTCTGATTGTCTGTAGTTAGTTTTTGATAATGTCCACATTTGATTACAAACCATCTAGTTTATGATGATATCCTGAATGAGTTCCATTTTCCCTATCTTTTTTTTAGTCATTGATCTTGACTACTTAGATAAAAATTGGCTTGTAATCATTTGGACCAGTTCGAATTTGACGATCTTTCTATAAACGTTTTTTGAGTTATTGGCCTTGACTTAGGAAAAACNGCGTTAAAATTTGTTTGTAAATGAAATTTT